AATACGCTTTCAAATATAGGCATTTCAATTATATTCGTTCCTCATGTATCAAACTAAAGATGCTTAACGTGAAACATATATGAATATCAATGTTCCGTAGGCAAAAACGCTGTTTTTGCCCTACCATGAGAAACTACGCCTGTGCTATTTTATATGAAGTCGATGTTCGAACGAGTGTACTCTGTGGATGCCTCTCGTGGCTTACATTAGATAGCAATCGTCTTCGATTAAATACAGCGATAAGTGCGCTGGGTCAAATTATTGGCCCAGAAAAGCTGGTGGTGCTGAACAACCACACCCCTTACATTAAAATGCCATATACAAACGAGACCCCGATTGAGCAGACGACAGGAGCGAGTCTGTTCGCACTTTAGTCTCGTTCATACACAGACAGACGACATATACATAGCAACGACAGCTAGGGTTCCGTCCATTCGGAAGCAGTACAGGAATAAGTTAGATGTTAAGTTCGGACAGGCCTCTTTCTTTGGATAGAAGCTTGTTTGCGTCACTTAGGGAGAATAGCCGCTCATCCAAAGTCAACAACCACTCGCCAGTCATCCATTCGGCCGCAGTGATAATTTCCTCTCCCCCGCTTTCAAATACATCCCAGACGATGCGATGATACTGCGGTGTCGATAGAGATGCTGATAACTGTGAAAGTTCTGATGATCGCAGCAACGAACAGGAGTTGCATTTGTAAACAACAACGGCGTAACAGAACGTTGGTGTTGGTCAACGCTCGAACGGTATTATGCAAGCGATATAGATCCATCCATAAACAATTTATAATCATACTCTTACGTATATGTATATAATGTAAATTATATATGAACGGATTCGAATATTGATGGCAGGGGAAACGTTTGTCTATGATATTGTGCAGCGCGCAACAGACTCGACTAAATTGGACCCAAGGGAGAGGCGAACGCCAGCTTGTCACAACAGCGTTCTGGCGAATCCCTTCAGAGCGACTTCAATAACAGAAGATTTATGGAAATAGGAAACGAGGATCAAACAAAACGAGTAGAGTAAATGACTACGTAAGAAGTAAATCCCCAAGCAGACGGCACTTGTGACGAGTGTGTGAATCACCATTTTGCCATATATATATTTATATATATATATATATATATAGAAATTTATTATCGACATATTATAACAATGATCGTAGTTTCCATCAGAAAAGACTACTAGCTCGAATAATTTGGCCGCTAAAACCTCTTAGCAGGTGAGTATCATTATCATCTCTACTCAGTAAATGTCTATTGTGACTTTGACGAAGTGATGAATGAGTAACGCGTTTTGCCGATCACCTGTCGTCGTTTTAAGTGAAGATACCTTATTTTATGCGCGAGTTTACGTCCCGAAGATGATGCACGCAAGAAAGTAATTAGCTACGTATGGCGGACAAACAAATGTCTAATTACCTTCTCGTTTATTTATCATTATTACATAACAAACTGGTGCTTAATAGTTATAAGTACGCCGTCGATCACCTCACGTTAGTAGGAATCAGTATGCGTATGCGTCCGGTTGTTGCAGTCTATGCTCTTCCCCAGCTTATTCCACTGGAGAGGCAGAAGGCTCCTTGTTACAATCTCGTCGCTCACAGAATTAAACATTTAAAAAAATTGAGACGGTCGTAAATAACGATATTCAGATAACAGCGGTCATCAATGTGTCCGATGGTAATGACTAATTATGATTTTGTATATAGACATAGCAAATTTGCCGTAATGATACATTTAAATAATTGCTAATTAGCCTACCCTTCTCTACAATTTAGTTTGCCCGTAATGAATGCAAACGATTAGCTAAACCCTATGAAGAATTAATTGATATATCCCTATCACGTTTTTACTTGTTTGCCCTTCCCTTTATAATAAATATCCGTTACCTGTCACCTATTCATACCCATTAGATTTGAATCAACAAGACAGGACTGAGTCGAGCCGACACTGTTCTGAAGCTTAGTTAGTGTTGGATTAGTAATCGGCCGGACTACATCGAAATTATGAAAAATTAATTGATTTTGTGCCGACGAAACAGTGGCGGATTAATTATAGCCCGGTTTCTGCCATATCCCTAAAGAATTCCACACATCGTGGCTAATAATGGCTTTCCATCACAAGGATGATTCCTTGTTGCTCCGTCGTGTCATTCCACTCGGTACAACGGGGTTGCCGCTGGCCGTTGATATGGGGCCTTTTTCCCAACGGATAATGGTGTCTGTCTCCACTACCACCATCGCCACCACTTTGATCGGACTTATCCTGTCACGGCCTGGTCTGCCGCTCTGCCGGCCAGCAGCTCGAAGCGTGATTCCTTTCCCCCTTGTCAATAAGATAAAAAAAAGTCCACCAAAACCCCTCACTTTTATAATTTTCCTTTTTTCCTTGTGGAATCTTTCGCTGAAACTGACACTCCGCCCGCCACCCTGCTCCCTCTGCCCTGCTCCTTCTCCGCCACCGCCTAAAGCACCTTATCCCTCAACTTTTGGTTCCTTTCATTTTACGAACACTGGCTCTTGAAATTTGCTTCCTACAAACGCGCCGCGCTGTCCAATCTGCTTTTCTATCGGTGCTGGCAGGAACACGGCCAAGCTTCAGGCCTAGTACCTACTCTTCCCTGGTCGCGAATATACCACACGATTTTTTCACCATCTTGCTATTTCAGGCACAGCATTCTATTGAATGACATCAGTAATGGTAGCAGCGCTGGCGGCGCCACCTTTCGTTTTAGGCTCTCTAGCTTTCTTTCTTTTTCGAGATTCCATAGCTCCAACTGATAGCCGTCGGAGTCTCGACTTGGAGCACCTTCCGCCTTTCGTTCGTTAACCACCGTTTCAGCCAGCGAGCACAAGCCGACCAGGATCCTGATTCTGTTCATTCGTCAAGCCTTTCTTGTACGCTGTCAATTTTCATCTTGGCATCTTCTGCTTCTCCTCCCGTGTCCTCTCGCCGCCGTAGACCCTTCGACCATCTCAAGCTCACTGCGCTGCTCTTACTACGACTACTACGACAACTACTGTCGTATAGCATCGTCACTCCTGTCACCAGCATTACCACAATCAGGCCTGCTTTGCCTGCGACCGGTACTTCGGACGACGTTGATGCACCGTTCTTTTCCTGCAGCCGGCATAAGTGGAAAGGAAAGAGAGTTTCTAGGTTGGACCTTGATCACAGGAAATGGGGTAATTGGGAGAAAAGAAGCGCACTTACCTCTTGACTCTTCACTGTCTTTTTCCCTGTTCTCAACGAACGTACGAACATGAAGAATGAGCTGGCGGTTTAAAAAATCGGAGAAACGCTCGTGTGATCCACACTGTACTGAGATTTGAAGTCTTATTGAACTACGCACACTTCATTTAAACAAGCTAGACATGAGCTTGGGATCTAGATCAGATATATATATATATATATGGAGAGCAAGGCTGCGTAGGCAGTCATTTATGACACAACCGCATTCTTTTTCAACAGCTGACTTGATATATAGGTATTATAGTTTAGGTTTAACTGTTTCGCATCGGCGTGCACATTGGGTAGCCGTATTAGTCAAGGGTCAGTTCAGTAATGTTAGTCAATAAACGAACACCCATTAATAAGCATTTAGTTAGCAATGGGCAGGCATTATATCAGAAATCTCACATAGTAAACAATAGCCTTCTGAACTGGATAAGGTTAGACAAATGCCTATGAGACGTTACGCAAGAGATACACGAATAGCTGTTACCATCATTCAACAAAACCCTCATGTGAGCTCATTATCAGAAGCTTGAGAGCTGTGTGTCATTGTTAGCACAGTTGATGCCCTAAATAAGTCTCGAAGTTTACTATTGCAAAAGAGCTTTCCAGTGACGCGCAGTCGTCATTAATTATGAATGAATGAAAAAAACCTAATGGCTTACTCAAATGTGTTTAAGTCGAGTTATTTTATATATTGTGTATTGAGATAGGCAGCACTTCGAACGTCAGCAGGATTTTTCGTTGTGGATTTTCCAGCGTACGACCGACCCGACGAATTTTTGAAATGGATTTCCTGTGGAATTATAGTCAGCACGTCCGCGATAGATGTGGCTTTGATCGTATCTGCTAATCGCTTGTACCTTTTTGTGTCGTCGTACACACAAATGTGTCTCTATGTCGACATACAGATGTACACGTGCACGTGCATATGAAAAGCGTCCGCGACGACTACGACAGACTCTCAAATGTCTAGTTGTCGCATCCTTCCGCCATTACAGGTGTGATGGGCGCATCTACAGCTGTGCTCCGCGCTCCAGCTCACTTGCTTCGGCAATGCCGACGATCACCGAGCTGGCCATAGTTGTGGCTCTGGCTTTTGACAAGTTCTAGGAGCTGCACGGGGCTCGCGTTCGCAGGCTGATCATTGCTCCGTTCTTCCTCCTCGTCGTCGTCGCACGACAGCGGCTGCGGCAGCGCGTTTGTCCGGTCGTTCCTCGGTCGTCTGCTTGCTCATTGACTCGTTGCTTTAGCAAGTAAGTTCGCATTACCCGGTACTGTGCTCATCGCTGCCGGCCGCTGCGCCGTTCGTCGTGCTCCTTCCACTAGCAGAAGCACTAACATCGCTAGTGCTTCTGCTGTTTCCACCGCCGCCGCCGCCGTCGCCGTCGCCGTCGCTGTGCAGAACAAAAGGAGCCCTAGCGAGCCGCGTTTGCTGCTGGTCCACGGCCGACGCGCCCGCATCTCGTTTCTCTTTTTCTATCTCTGGCCAGGAGAAGGGCAGGCAGACGCGCTAGCTGGAGCCGCCAGCCGAAGCAGCTCGTATATCGTGGCATGGTAGTAATAATAATTAGCGACGTCCCTTTCCGTGGCACCCTCGCCCAGGCTCCGCCTTCGACCGCCCAGGCGCCGCCTCCGCGAGCCCGGCCAACTGCGATTCAATATCTCCACTGGCGCGGCCAAACTAAGAAACAATCTTAATTGTGTGGTGAAGCCGGATGGTCTCGGCAGAGGGTTGGAGCTGCTGTTGTAGTAGTAGGTGGCCGCTGCTGCTGCTGAAGGCGCTGTCGACTCGTTAAGTTGTTATATCGTTCCCTAGCCTTCAAATGAGCCGGCCCGAGTGAAGCGTTCGGGTTTGTCTGTCGATTATCCTCGACGTCCATCTCTCCATAGATACATGCATTCAACGACTTCGCGAAGCCACAATCATTGTAGCCAGTGTGTGAGTCATTCCAAAGGAGAACGTGCTAGTGAATTTACGTGGTTGATAAAAAAAACATGTAAAATACAACATATGTCTTGTAAAACAGCATCAATAACGTCAAATGATATTATGAAATGCAAGGGCACTCCGTGACGAAGAACCTGTTCTGAAGTAGTCGTCTAGCCAGTGCACAAAAAAGGCCACAATAGGAACAAACGATAGTGAACGCTCGAGACGGTCAAACAACGAGACAAGGTTCAAGTATTTGGTTACTGCCGTCGACGTCCTGAGGCAAAGGAAGATTTTAAGGGGCAACAAAAACAACGAGAACGGCGGCAACAGCCCCTAGCGAACGGTTGTTAGTTATAGATCTTTTTAGTGACCTGTGTGTGTGTTAGTGTATATTGTGCTACCTTGGTTAACCAAAGGCTCATCCAATAATTATAAGAAATAAATATTGTAGATGTGCTATCGCTGCTGTTGGACTACTTCGGAAAACGTCGCAGAGCTGAAGCTCGTTGGTGCGTTTGTGGGCATCACGATATCAGTCGACTGAAGTCTTCAGAATATCAACGACAATCACGCACAGATTGTTGCTGAATCCAGCAGAAGTGAAGGAGTCCATTCGGCGACGGTGGTGAGGCTAGTGCTACTTCTACGCCGAGTACCGGCTTTAATAACGGCCCCCCGCTAATTTCGATACCGGCCACTACGGACGCTACTGCCACAAGAAGACGTGGTGTGCCTGTCTCCGTGAGCCGTGCTATTCCCACAGGCAAACTGGGGCCGGGAAGCGAGCCCCGGGTACCGATGTCTCCTTACGCGGCCTTTGGCGCACCACTGGCGCCCTATAATAGTGTGCCGCTTCATTACGTAGCCGCAATACAGCACGCATTACAAAGTGCAGCTGCGAGTGCGCAGATCTCGACGCTAACAAGTCTAGCACACCAGACCGAAGTCGGTACGCCGGGTGCGTCGCCTGGCTGCACGCCCACCATCCTACCCGCTACCGCTACCAGCGTTCCTCATCACGCGTCACCTTATTCCATCGAAGGCCTCCTCTACAACAACAATAAAGGCACGTATCGTCACATACACACATCAGATGGGGTTCTCGCCACTTGGGCTAACAGACAGCGTCCCGTGCGACACTAGCTATCTTTTACTTATGAGCTCATCTTCTTTCTTATCTCTTTTTGGCCTGTAATGCCGTACACGCTACATTGCTGTTACATTAACGGGTGCCGAATCCTACGGCTTAAGTACCAGTTCGTCGGCCTTGGCTGCTGAACGCGAGTACGCTATCCTCGTTATTCTTGTTCTTGTTATGTTGCAGTAATTCCGTTTATTGTTTCAGTAACTATGTCTTGCTCGAATCGGTCCATTAGCTCTTTTAAACAATTCAGTGGTATAACGCCAGCAATTGCAACTTGCTTCAATTATTCGTATATTTTGCAATCTTTTTCTCGTACTCCAATAAAACGCTATTTTGGTTTAGACATTCGGCTATCGTGTCCTAGCCACCCTGTGGGCGTACAGAGTGTGCCACGTTCTCCCGCGTCACCCCATTCTGCCGTTGCAGTTAAGCTGTTAACGCGCTACCGTCAGTAAAGCTTTTTTTTTTAAAAAAACTAAATTTCACTTCCGAATCGCTTTGTCAGAGATGAAGCTCTATCAAAAACGGAGCCAGCCAGCCAGCCAGTCACGGGTATTCTTCTGAAATGTTTAACGATCTCCTAAAGGGACCATCGACTCGAGGACGACTGTGTGACCATTTTGTAGGGCTCGAAAAATTAAGCACGATCTCCATTTGAATACACTACAAAGTGGTCAGCCGTTATTAAGAGCCCAAATAGGCTATAAAGAGGATATTTCCCGCCGAATCAAGTCGATACGCAAAAGACCTCAAAGATTGTTCGCGCCATATATATACGTAGGGATAGAGAGAAAAGGATTACAGCCTGAGTTGCAATTAAGGACCACGCCACTTGATAGCAAAGGCATTTTTGCATCTAAAGTACAATGGCTTGATTAAACCTCCGCACACAGTTTCGGCTAAGATGTTACTTAGAACGAAGTCCAAAGCGACGCTCTATAGCGGTTATGAATTCAGCACGCGTACAAGGGCACGGCGTATTTCCTTTCCGGGTTACGCTCTGCTTCGAGTATCATTGCACGGCTATCTACTTGTCTCAATGATTAAATTAATTTTCAATTAAGCATCAATGACATGGTCTTTACTGATCCGTCGACAGGACAACCTGTCTGAGGCGACGAGCTCAGAAAGCCTACTTGCTCTTGCTTAAAAAATATAGGTCCCTTAATCGAATTCTGCAGCGGTACGTTGAAAAGTATGCGTTGTGTTTGTTAGTGGTATTAGCACGTACAAGCCCCGGCATTTCGGCAATATGCTCGTTATTTAGTGCAAAATACCATCTTTATCTGCAATCGTTTAGCAGCCGCTTAAGTACAAATCGCGCGACATGGCACTTATCGAGTCTCGTTTCAGCAAACCCTCTGTAGCGTATCACGAATATTGTTTCAATACATTGGAACAGATTTTGCTTCCAGCAGCTGATCTTCGTCTATCTTTTCAGCCCCGCAGTTACTGCCCTTATTATCATTACTATTATTAGACTTAATACAGGCGGCAAACGGTATGATTGTAACTGCAATTACCGGCCCAAAGTACCTACAAAGGACTGTCAGATCTTTTTTAGCTATATGGAGCTCCCAGGATTTGCACCGGCTGAACTGCCGCAGATATCTACGCCATCAGCGCTCACTCATTACAGCCTCCCCTCATCGAATAGAATAAGCAACAACCGAACGCGTAGTACCACACAGTGGAGCGGCTGTCGTTGGCGGACGCAAAAATCAATCGAACGGGCAACGACAAATCGACTTCGGGCCGGAGAAGGCTAGCTAGGGAGAGACGGGTCGCTGTAGAAAAGAATACTATTAGCTGATTCATATTTGCGTTCAGTGTGCCTATGTACATGTTTATATATATATATATATGCACGAGTGGGTGGCATGCATCGTGCTTCCGTAAACTACCTAGCTAACTGCCTAGCCAGTCGATCGGTCGGTCCGCTGTCTGTATCTATCGTATAGATATATACTGTGTCCATGAGGGTTTGCAATGCGCGCCAGTTGCAACTAATCCTGTCCTTTCGAAATATTATGTTCCGCTAGCCCTGTTCCTGTTAATTGCTATCTGCGCATATTGTTTTCATTGATGATGTAGTTGTTAATGTCATTTCGAGAATCACATTGGCTCGATCATCGTTTTGCGGAGTAGAAGTTACACGAAAAGTCTATGCGCCATGTGTTTCGTGCTAGAGCCATCATCACTCACCATGTAGACCTCGAGCGGGACGGGTCGAGGCGGCGACAGCAGTAGCAACATTATCTAATAGGCCCCCCATGTTATTACTGTCGCTGCTACTGCTTCTATCACCGATGCGCCTGTCTGTAGCTAGTGACAATTTGCTTGCCAGCCTGCGGGCTGTGTATATGAACGTGTGTCCTACCCAATGTGTTGCACGTAGGAATGCTAGCACGACAGACAGCGCTATGTAGGCCTCCGGCCCCAGCTAGTGCACTGCTCGTTAGGACCACTCATGATGTGCTAAGGCTGTTGCTTCTGTAATTTGCTGTATTGTCGCCGTCATCGTCAACCAGCATTACAAGCTTCTGCCAGCATTACAGTTCACGGAGCGTAATAATTGCCTTCACAGGAACGAGAATTGGCCCTGATGGGCTGCGGTGTCACCGTCGAGAAAGAAATTGTTAGGCCTGTGTATTTGTAGTGATCTCTTCGTCGTTGTTATAAGTGATACCCGTTCTTTCTAGCCCGAGTTGGCATAAGCATGGAACTCGTGAAAGGCCTACGCTATTTACTCGACAAAGCTATTTGCCCATTTTGGTGGGGTTTGTGGAGCGTTTACATGTATGCTCCGAGATGGACTGAGGTGAAATGCCCCCATGTTTTATGCTGCATAAATATCCTGCTGTTGAATTTATAAACTAAAGCCAAAAAAGAACAGCCTCTTCAGTGGCTGATTACAATTCAACGCTACTCAACGCGATGGTGCGACCTTGGAAGTTGAAGGAAACTGACTTTTTGACTAACATAACAGTAACGGAAGATGAAACAAATATAAATAATAGTATATTTTTAGCAGGCCTTCGAAACTAACAGCGAATAGACAGCGGTCGAGGCAAAAAAATGCCTAAATAGCCAGTGGTTCTCTTTTGCCTCAAGCCGTGTCGAAGATTTGCCACGTCCTTGTTGTAACACTTTCTTGTCATACTTTGAGTGATTGGCAACATTTAGTAGGTACAATATGGTTTTAAGATTAATCAACTGTTTGATACAATCATTTCCGATTATTAACTTCAGTCTGGTGCATCGCGTTTGGAGGGCTCATCACATAGTAGGATACCCCATGATCATCGACATTCTGCGTCAGTAATGCCATATTTTTTGCAGTTATTAACTTATATGTGACGTCCTGGTATAATTCATTGTGCTAGAAATAAATTCTTCGTTTTCTACCTGTTCCTTCGCCATGATTTCTTGTAGCTAGGATGGATTTTGTGCGTCTCATTTCGGGCGCCCATCTCTAATATACATAAGCGGGTACATCTACATAACGTGCTTCTCTAGCCGCTAGTCTCGCTGTTGTGGTACGTTGGTAGCTTAATCAAATGATAGAGAATCATTTTGATGTTGAAATGATAATCGCAGTACGGCTGGGATCAGTAGCGCCACAGACGTCACCAGTCGTTACAGTCACTCAAACCCCCTCATATAAGGGGTTCTATTCCGGGAGTATCATGCGGGTACAGGCAAATCCGTTTGCGCACCTTTCTGGCCTACCCGCAGAGGTACGCGCCCATTGCTCGTGCTGGAGTGGCTTAGAGCCGGACAGGGCCGCATTCAAACATGGACAGTAGAGAGATCTGCAGAGATCATCCTTCTCAGCTTTCCATCTGGTGACAGACTGAACTATGTGGTGACGAGACGGATATTTTTGAACGCGTAATCATACCTGCTACAAGAGTAAAATATGAACGAGTGAAGGGTGAGCCGTCATCGTAATCACCGCGCGAGTCTGTTGTGTCATATCGGTCTAGGAGGAGTGCTAGGAGCGAACATGTAAAATACATCATTTAAAATGAAAGCAACCAGTATGGCCTGTGGACAGCTAAAAGGCGATTAACTTTCACTTCGTAGCAAAGCTTACTGACGATTAGCAAATAACGTGAAGAATCGCAATTGATCTTCACCAAGGCTAATCTCTTCCGGTGATCCTTGCGGAAGGAAGCACTATTTATAAGGGTTTAATAAGTAAGTTGTCTGCCCAACTGCTTTGCCGTCTGCAAGCGTGTAGCACAATCGAAATATTATTTAATCTTTCACCAGTCACATCTATATGTTTATCATTTTAGTTTCCTACATCAACAAACTTTGAATTATTAGGGATGTAGCAGTTTTTCAAATGGAATCGTTTACTTAAGGGGCACTTCAATCCAATTTCATCTACGCTTTTAAAGACAGGCAGGTGTCGGTACGTTTTAATTAGCGGATATTATTACTGTCGGTTCTGTAGGAATAAGTGTTTCAGCAGACGCTTTTATACACAGACTGGCAAATGTGAAGTTATGTGAGTGCCTGAGAGAATGCCTCACTGGAACCGAAATAAGGTGTAGAAAAAATGGGGGCAAATATTAGCTCCTTTTATTTGAGCTCATAAAAATGGCTAAGTGCAAATTTTAGGTTAACTGGTGGACTTTTGTTGCCCTTTAGCTTCTCTTGATATGGACAGCGTTTTTAAGTGAGCTCTCTTCTTCCCCCAGGCTTCCGCTCCGTCAGGTGGTGTCATAGTAAAAATCGGTTCCAAAGTAAAACATTTTCTCGCCTCGCTTCGCTTAGGACAAGCCGAGCAGGTTCCTGCATATCCCCAAATGGCTGAGCGCGGGACAGAAAGGGGTCAGTTCCCTTCAACCTCTGTCCCCATTTTTCCCAATCCCAGCTTGTGCTACTCCCTTTTTTTGCCTCGCTCTACCCACTTTACCGAGGTGCGTGCCCAAAATGCATTTCGACAGGCGATTGTAACAGTTCTGCGTGGAATGCTTCAGCTTATGTCGGTACACATGAGTCTATCATCTTAGTTTCATTGAAGTTACCCGTATCGAGCTATTGGAGCCCCTATTGAGCCAAGGAAGAGCTATAGAAGATGTTATCACGGTCGTGCTACCAAATGAGTTGAGTGCTGTTAATACTATCGTATGAAGGTAGATATATATCGTTGTCGGCGACGATGTGATACTGAGCCAGCCTTTATACGACTGCGGGCTTAGACTTCGAAACAAAGTAAATCACTTTCGTATATTGGCGTTCCCATACGGTGTTGAGTTTATATGTTATTGATCCGCAAAAATCGGTTTATCGGTAATTTCGGTTAATCGTTCGATCAAAAAATTCTACCCCTATAATAATCTTTCGAATACATTTTTTCATGCACTTACGCCGTTCAAAATTAAGGTCTTTGTTAAAAGGGCTAGTAGTCTGTGCTGAGACTATTTGAAATTTCCCGCGGGAAAAATGCTCGCGTTATCGCCTCCTCATAACGACATCTTTTTTTTACTCCCTTACCTTAAGGATAGCTACTGCTGTTGCTGTCGCCCACGCCGCCGAAGACGAGGAAAGAGAGCTTTTTTCTACTCTGTGTTCGCGTCTCTCGCTTCGGGTCGTCACCGTTATAGATGAACGTTGTCCTTTTCGTTTCTCCCGTTTGTCTTGTTCGCTCAATCTCCACACGACTCTGTCACTAAGAGCCCCCTACGGGCGGAGGCCTGACCTACTTCATGGGGAACAAAGTGAGGTTCAATTTATGCAAACAAGAATAAATTTGCGATTAACATCATTAACGATTTTGTCTATTGGTAAACTCACTTGTACGCGAAATAGTACTGAATATTAGCAATTTCTTAAAATAGAATGTCTACTAATAGTAAGTATAAATATATTATTCAGCGGGCCATAACTGACATTATTGCTAATGCTTCTTGTTATAGAGTGTTGACGGAAAACAAGGAAAATTCGATAATAGGAATATAATACTAATAATAATAGTATTTGATACACATGGAAAAAGATTTGTGCATATAGCTAAGTGGGTGTCCAGTTCCCCAGGGGATCGCAACAACACCAACGAGCTGGCATGGTGGGCGCTGTGGGGACAGAGTTGAAGGAGCAACATGCGGCGGCTCTGTGTGGGGTAGAGAAGGGAAAATAAAGCTCGTCGCCGGAGGGCGACTGTTTCGCTTCGCGTACAGGCGGCGGTAGTCCGTTGAAGCGAGGAGAACTTCAAGTACAGAAGCCTATGGCCATGCCATCCATGTCGAGAAAGAGGATCGCAATGACGCCAATCATGAGGAAATGTTTTGGGGCGAGGCGACATCTACGACCCACGGTAGTTGACTAGGCAGTAAGGGTAAGGCGCCGATTATTTCGATACAGTATGTATGTATGTGTGTGCAGGGGCAGGACACGGGACAGACAGAATTACACAGAGAGGTAACATAACGCGCCGCAAGTTCAGGTCCGGCCTGCTAAATCCCCGCGACCAACTATACAGCGATTCTTTTGGCTGCGCTATGAATTATGGGCAATGCACTCTTACTTAGGTTTAGCGTCCCGACAAATCGAGAAAAAGAACAAGTACTGCTCAGTACGTAGCCGTCGATCAAATTTTCTCGCGACCATATTGCTTCTATAAGTATCCAAACCAGTGACAGAAAACTTGAAAGGGACTGGGTTAAATTTGGGAATTTACTTTATTTTTATGTAGATATCCCGGTGCCGATATAGTGTGTAACGTACTTGCCTGCTGAACTAAAGGGGCATGTAGTGCTCTAGGTTCGAACGTTTCGGTTTATGTTAGTAGTCAGCTGTCTTATGAAATGTTTAACATCGGTACCGTACATAAAACTCGGAGCCCTTGCTTTAGATATTCCTGCACACGAAGTCTTAGCAGCAAAAGTCTGCATAAAGTAAGCTCATGCACACCTACTGTCGAATAAGATTAATGTGCGCTCAATCAATTAGTTAAATGCGCGTAAAAATAAAAAATCAATTAGTCAAAAACCTTGTAAGCCTATGTACTAGGTTGTCTCTGCCTAATAAAACAACTATTCTTTCTTTTTACGTGACGTCTTGCTGCCTATCATTGGTTTTTTAATACCATGGGGTGTTTGAAGAAAGCTCACCGCCTTGGTGTGGCGTTCATTTCAAAGTACACAGCTGGAGACCATCCCTCAATTTTTTCGTGGATATCTGTATGAGGAGGTACTTTTATTTAATTATATATATATATATATATAATTTTAACGTAACGAAAAAAAGCTGTTGTTTTTTTCGCCAGAAGGTTATGTTTACTCAGATCGGTAGCTTCTCCAAAAACTACTGTCAAAGAAATCGCACTTTTTTGAAAGTGCATGCTCTGTGATTTCAATAAAAATTTAATATGTTATTTCAGTCGGCAATAGAAGTGTTTCGTTCTTAATAATAACACGTGCTTGAGTCATGTATTGGGCGATTACGCGCCTTGATGTATTGAAAAGTATCACCGCCCAATGAATTCGATCATTGTAACATAGCTTGACGTATATAGGTTTTGGACACGGCAAACTAAATTGAAGACAAATTGGATAATACTAGATAGATGTAGTGCAGAGAAGAATGTATTGAAATAAGCGTTCTACAAGGCTGAGCCAGCGTGTTTTTTAACGTACGTCTCGTCTGTTGTTATTCCTTTACAGCAGCTGTAACAGCTGCGGCAGCAGCTGTAGCAGCAGCAGCAGCAGCTCGCAGAGAATCATCCGACCATGAAGATATCTCGGACAATGATGATCCTGACAGATGTAAGTGTATTTTTATCACTGGATGCTTTAAACAATATATATATATATATATATATATATTAAAGTATTAGGATATAAAGGATTTGCTTAGAAGGGGGCACTTCAACATTTCGGATGTAAAAGCGACAGGGTTCAGTTGCTAACGTTAAGATATTATTATATATATTATTTCCATTGAATTTCTCCAAAGTAAGCTATAATGATCTATAGATATTGTTGAAAGCTTGGGCATCTTGTTTTTATCGTTAACCATGACAAGACACTATTGCTGATCTACTACTGCACGAGGACACCGATCGCATCGGGTTTGACAGATGTGGATAGGTTTGTGCTATTTTTGTCTCGTATCCGCTCACAAATCAGTGTATCACCGATAACACTGATTTTTGAGCTGAAGATAAAAACATATTCTTGGATGATTGTAGTTTGCCTGTGTTTACGATCGTCGGAAGTAGAAAAACTATGAAATATCATTGGACATGGTTATCAATAGTACGTTTTGGTAGAACATCGAAATGTAGAGTTTGGCCGTTTTACCTTAAATAAAAATTTTCGTTTCACAATGTTCTTGATAATAGACCCGTACAGCGGAAAAAGTTTTATTGCCTTTTGGCTATCATTTACCCATAATCGATTATGTAGGCTTATAATTCATGGCCTGTGCCTGCACGGCTTCTTAGGACTATCTTTACCGTACTGTTGTGTTAATTGACTTGCACTCAACGAAAAGCGAGCACCCACGAGCCGTTCGCTACTATCTAGTAAGGTCGATTATCGCATTAGGACGCACTGGACGTACTTGCTGGTTAACAGGCATGACACACAACGCAGGCCAACTTCGACCAAAGAACAAGATCAGATCAATATTTGCTATCATCTCCTACTACTTCTGGTACTACGGCTCCCACAATGACATTAAGCGATAGCACGAACAGTCGATATCAATATCTGTGACTTGTTGTCCTGACCGCCGTGACGACAAACAGGAACAACAACCGTTATCACCAATCGTACTTCAGAATCGTGGATATTTTCGTTTCGTTCATTTTTTGATTTCGATCTTTCGGCCTCAATGAGAAGTCGCACTGCGATTTAAAAAAAAAAACAACTGCCAGACAATTGCAAGATCAGGTCAGGGCGCTTGGTTCAGGCTACCAGACACTTCAGTTTTATTGAAGGCCACGATACCGATATCATAGAGATCGATAAATGGTGATAACAATAGCAGAGCACGTTGCTGTGCAGGCGACAGCAAAGGGATGATTGACAAAGTTTATGAAACAAAGGGGAGAGGCGGCATGCGGAAACGAGAACAGCTTATCTATCCATTCATTCATTCATTCATCCATCCATCCCTCGATCTATGGGAGAGCGTACCCGCTTAAGACCAAATAGGACACAGCCGATCCAATGTGGACCAATAGTATACTATACCTACATACATGCAAATAAACACTAATGCCATTGTTATTACGGAATCGGCAGGAACTACAAGACCAAGTATGGGGAGCAGCAACTAGTGAATCGGCCCTGATTATTGACACGATCAGACGCATAAAGGCGTCGTGGAAACATGTATAGAATTGAAAATCAAATGTCTAGGTTATTATTTTTTGGCATAGATAGAAGAAAGCAAACATTGTTCGCTGCTTCGATTTACAGTTACGGCTATTGTACGTAACGATTCTTTTGTTTGGACAGCGAAAGATTTAGATTTTGTTTAAGGTGCTCTTCTGATCAGAAATTAGCTAAGCCTCCAAAAGCCTTGCGATTACCTAAGTAATGTTTTTTTTTTGCTTCGACTAACGTACTAATTTAATTCATGTTATCTCGTTTTTTTAAGGTAGACACAGCTTCTTTCTTTGCACTTCGTGCTCTTCAAAGAGGAAGATCTTACGCGTTTATTTTTCTCGCAGTGGCTGCTAGCGTCCATCCCCCTCGACGGGTCAAGTCCCTATGAGTGACTACTAATCTCTTAATCAAGTGACGTCGAAATCTGTCGACTAGGGCTCATTTTCCGTCGATCTGACTATTTTGATGACAACGGCGTCACGCTGCTTCTTGACGACGAGCAGGAGGTGATCGATCCGACCTGATTATCGGGTGATCCGAGGCTCATCAGAAGCAATAACGCGTAGTTATCGCCATTATAATCACTATTGTAGTGCGAAGATGATTATGCCTTTAATGGCCACATTGCGGTCCCATCGGCCAACAACATGGGGGCGCCCCATTTAGCTCAGTTCTTATAGATCTCGCCTGTAATCGTAGAATATTACATAGAAAAAAACATGGACATGTCGCTTTATAGGCGACAGAACCTTCAAAGAAACTGCTGACGGTTGATTGATTCGACAGCTTATGCCAATTCTCTATATATAGATATATATATATATATATATATATATAATATAAAATCGGCAAAGTCACGACTGATAGAGAGACAGACAGATCCTTCCCCCTGATCTGATCTGTTTTAAAAAGCGCAGAGGAAAAAGGAAAAGACGAATGAAGGAAGAGGAGACCCATTGGCGACGACAAGGTATCGAAAAAGCCATTGACATCGATTAAGATCTTTACTTTTAATTTTCGTAACGGTCTTCTTCGACTTTTCTCCTGTTTTTCTTATACAGTGCGCTGCCCGGAGAATCATTAACCCTTATTAAAAAAAAAAAAAAGTTTTTTTTGCAAAGGCGTCTCCTGGGACGTCATTTGTTCGTCTTCCATAATTCAGTTCGAAATATTCCCAAACTTGTGCGAACCTGGGTCAACGTGCCGGGTTGTTTCAATCTATGGAAACTTATCAATAGCACATTGAATTAAGCTATTTATTCAATTGCGCTACTGATCTGTCGGAGTATTTGGTAAAACACCAAACAGTTCAATGTTCTAGATTCTCCTCCATTCGATCAGTCGGTGTTTGGGTAATATTTGAGTGCCAGGAAGACAAGTAGCGTAAAAATATAAATGGTGTGAACTCATTATATATCTAATTAATTATTTCAAGCTCATTTTCTTCCTTCGATTCAACCGACCATTTGTCGGTAGTCCTGTTCTAAATGTTTTATTAAAATCTGCTACAAAACGATACAAGCTGTTGCGCTGTCCGCTACCAGCTGGTGTTTACCGCTATTTGGTTTGTCCGTGTATATGGGCGTTTGAACACGTATCGAGTGCCGACTATGCATAGCTCTAGCGATCTGGCGTGCAGCCGCAATAGGAATGTATGCTGCCCGTCCATACCTAAAAAATTCGAATAAAATAGCAAATAGTAGTGTTCCCTTTTTTGTTGTTGTTGTTGTTGTTGTTGTCGACGTCGTTCGAAAGTTGCCCAACAGAGATGGGTCTTAACCCCTTGGAGGCCAACCATGCGATACTCCTGCGGTTTTCGTCGTCTCGAGGGAGAATGACATGGCATCAGCAGCCCTCCTCAGCGACTGCTCGGTTGCTGCTCCTGCTAACTGCTGATATTGTTGCTGCCATCGATCAGTCGCTCGGTCGATCTCCCTGCCTCCATTGGAACATGGGAATGGTGGTAGTGACGCCGATGATGGTGACTGTGCAGTAGCAGTGGCTAATGTGTACTGCCCGTCGGTAACTACCGTATCCGCTGTTGTTGCGTCTCTGTCTGTACAATCATGGCGTATATGTACATACCTATAATTGTAGCCGTCAGGGTACCACTCGGCGGAATGATAAATTTTGAGTAAAACCTTTCGCCAGACTCACTGCAGCCTCGGCAGCAATATCAGGAGTCGTAGTTGTAACACTGACGGTAGCGACGCTACGCTTGGCTTTTGGCTGAGGGGGTATGCTGTGGCTGTTTGTGTTGACGCTTCATTTAATCGCTATACTGAACCGAGCCGTTCGTTGCAGGACGCCGACCGCGAGAAGCAGACGTCAGTGGTCGGCGGCTTTCGCGACGTCGGCTACTCTCGAAATTCGTCGCACCGAGAAAGTAGGCAGACAACCGAAAAACGTAGTTGACCGGACGCCGCCAGAATAAATAGTAGCGATTTTGCGGCGGTTAATTGCGGTTTAATTATTTTGATAATAATAATAATAATAACGATGCCGACAATAGCGACAACTGTGATAACGATGGTTATTATTTGTGTTTGGTAGTGTTGTTATTTTAGTATATATCAATAATGAGCCATATCCTGTTATCTAAACGCGAACAAACGATCCCTTCGCCATTTGCTGGCTCTTGTTGCTGCGAACTGTTGCCGCTGTCAGTCGGTACGCGGGTCGCCGCCCGGCCCGGCCCGGCCCGGCCTGGGCTCGCTGGCGCTAGCCTCATTGGTGCCACCGTATGCTCTCACTGTGCCGTAAAGGTCGCCGAGAAGAAGGAAGAACGATGGGGATCAAGCGTCATCCACGTGAAAACCTTGATTTGCCGTAGTTTCGCAAGAAGACTGCTTCTGAGAGATACATTTCTATCGTTATTGATTAATTCTACAATTGCAGGTTTTTTAGGAAATTATTTGATTGCCATTATCATTCCAAGATGTATGGGAAGCCTTTATCGTATAACCTTCTTTTGTATCTCGGCTTATGATACGTCTTTTACGCAAAAAAACGCATTGTCTTATTTAATAACTGACACAGCGAAAAGTACCTATAACTGGGCTTCGATTCCGTAATACAATTAACGTATTTGTGTGTGTGTTCGTCGGTGTTAATGGCGCAGAAGCGCAAGTGAGGCCACAGTCTGCGAAGAAGTCTTCTATCAGGTACAAAAGATGTTCCCAGAGACGAGTGATGTCGATGCCGCTGCCGCTGCCGTTCGCGGAGCGATGAACGGCATCGCTTTTTGTTGATATTCGGCGAAGCCCTCTGCTCCTCGAACCTCATCTGTTGTTACGATTGGCTAATAACAATAATTTGTATTTGAAGTGGTAGAAGCAGTCGTAGTGCGACGCCCGCTGTATCGGCGCCATAGGCCACAGGTAGCCCCATCATCATAGGACGTTCAAACTATCGGCCTCCTAGCGCAT